CACTTCATTAAGAAGGTTAGACTGAATGAACAACCTTGTGTGGGGCACCAAACCCAACTGCATGAGATGAATAAAGAAGACACACATAGATATATACATTTAAAGAGTTCCTTCCATTTAACACTGTCACACAATTTCAACGTAATTAGTTTTCACTGTCGTAGTCTTAAAAAATAATAATCTGAAACAAGGCAATAAAACAAGCTCTGCTGGGTTTTTAAAAAATATATTGTCCAACTGAAACCAATGAAGGAAAGACTAACTTAAGGTGGTGGGATTCTAGATTATGTGCCAGGTCACGGCATCATTCATGTGCATGTCATGGACTGTTGTGGACCATCTTGTCATCCTTGTAGCGGTTCTGTTTTTTTGTGTCCTGCCTGCCATTTTTCTTATTTCTTTAAATAACTGAACCCTTAAGCCTTCCTTGTGGTTTTCATTTGGCCATATTTTCTGTTGCCCCACACACACCACAGGGGCAGCAGAATCTGGTTAGTTCGATGTTCACAAAGATATTTTCTCAGTTGAAGAACCAGAGTTTTTAGAAATGCATCCATCCATCCATTATCTATATATACCACTTTATTGTCACTAGGATCACGTGGGGGCTGACTCAGGGCGATGGCAGGGGCTGCACTTAGAGACAGACAAACAATTGTCTGACAGCACACTCACATTCACACCTATGGACAATTTAGAATCACTAACTAACCTCAGCATACTTTTGGACTGTGTGGGAGGAAGCTGGAGAACCCGCAGAGAACCCACGCTGCATAGTTAGAACATGCAAACTCCATGCAGAAAGATATTTTTGCTGTGAGGTGACGGTGCTAACCACTGTCCCAGTTTTTGGAAACGCATGTTATTTTAAAAAGCAAGAATAAAAACATTTTTTCAAAAAAAATTGTTACATTAGATGGCGGCTGCATGGAGGTCTTGCAGATCTTCTTGGTCTTGTTTCTCCCTAACCACCTGCGTAGCCAAACCACCTGTGCATTAAAGTCTTGCCTGGGAGTCTATATCCAGTGTCTCTGCTGTGTTGTACAGTCCTGAGTGAGCAGCTCCTGCTGAGGCCCAGCCTGATGTGAGCTGACTATTCCTACCAATACCTCTGCAGCTTGTTGACCTGCCCTGATCCTTCGTCATCTGTGTGTCCAACCACCACTGATTGAACTCCTGTTGGTGGTTGCCTGCTCTGGTCTACAGTTTTCTGACTGCTGTGCATCTTAGCCTGAACCCCAGTCTCCAGTGAGCTCTCCTGAGTGAATAGTCTGCACTTATATAGTGCTTTTCTACCTTCATGGTACTCAAAGCAATGCATTTCTCAGTCACCCGTTCACAGACCAATGGCGACACAGCTGCCATGCAAGGTGATTGCATGCCATCAGAACTTTGGATTCAGGGTCTACCTTGTTGATTAGTGGACAACCCAGCCACCACTAAACACCTGGATATATTTACCTCCATCAGAACATAGTTGTACCAAGGAATATTTTCATAAAGGAATTGTTTTATTTTATGCTTTACTAACTTTGTTATTTTAACGGAATATAGCTGTTAAGTATAAAAGAATAATATCATGAAAAACATCTTTCACTTTGTGTATCACGTTTGCAGGGATCCACAGTGTTTCCTCTCTTGACTTCTGTCCTGCATGACCCCACTGAGTGGGAGAAACCACACTCCTTTTATCCTGCCCACTTCTTGGACAAAGATCAAAAGTTTGTCAAACGAAACTCCTTTCTGCCGTTTTCTGCAGGTATGCAAGCACAGCCATCACTGTTGATGCTACAGTTCCTGCCACAGCCCCCAAAAGACCAAGGTTTTTCCTTGATTCTCTTTTGCAGGTCAGAGGATGTGTCCTGGACAGAGTCTGGCTACGATGGCGCTCTTCATCATCCTGGCCACCCTCCTGCAGCATTTTCGTTTCACTCCTGCACCTGGAGTTTCAGAGGATGAAGTAGATCTGACTCCATCTGGGAACCATGGTGCCGTCCCTTTACCTCATAAACTGTGTGCTGTTCCCCTCATCTGAGGAAGAGGTTGTCCTTAAAAAGCTGCATGACCTTGTGTAATTAATTCACCTCCATAATATACAAAATAGCATATTCCAAATGTTGAGTTAAAAGTAAAATGAGTATTTATTTATTTTTTCTTGTGTTAATATAATTTCATACCAAAGCAAGTCTTGTAGTGTGACAGTTGAGGGCAGCGCTGAGCTGAAAGGTCAGGTGACTGATAATCAGATAAATTGGTGGAGGCTGTGTGTGATCTGGTGGATCAGTTGGAACAAAGGATTCCATGCTGCAGGGTGACATCAGTGTGGAGGACCTACAGAAACGCTATTGGTATGACTGTTTAGCAATTTAAGATTCAATTTTGATTTAACTCCTGGTTTTAATTTGATAATAGTGATGCTATGTGGCGGAAGAAATGTTGTTGCATTTAAGTTGGAGTTGTTTATTTTCTTTGAAATGTTTAAACCAATAACTGGTGTTATGTTGTGTTATAAGGTTATCAACCTGCTACTGCCACTACTACTGTTTTGAGCTATGTATGTTGTGTCATACGAATGCAAATATTAAAGCAAAGAAGAGCTGAGTTGCCCCAATCGTCATCTGTGACTACCTCCAAGCCTTTTTCAAGTTTAGGCAGAGCTGATATCAGAACCCAAATAACTTGACACTAAATCATGATGTATTATGTCAGTGCTACTCATAAACATTATTTCAGTTTCTGTTGAATTGTTGAAATTTTGTTTCAAGTGTATTTGTGCAGCCCAGTTTCACACAAAACTATTTCAGGAGGTCTGATCTCCTCGCCTATAAAGCAGAAACTCCAAGCAACTATATATAAGGTGTCTTGCAAAATACTTTTCTTAAAAAATATATATATAACAATATGTCTACAACACCTTTAAAATGCTGCACCAGCCATGTGATACTCACTTCTACAAATCCCTTCAATAAAATGTACAGTACAGTACATTCATTGTTCATACACACTCATGACTGCTCCCTCAAGAAAAAGGACAGCGTCAGTCACCTTAGCCAGTAGCTTGAGGTCCACACAGGGGGGGAATGAGGCTATGCTGAGCTAAAGTACATGTCAGTGGGAAGTAACACAATCATATTGAAATATTGTACCATATTAAACCTATGAAAGTGGTTTTCCTGCACAGTGAAAGATTGTGCAATATAGGTCTATATACATACAGTCGTCCTCAAATGTATTCATACCCTTCCATTAGAGAATAGGCAGAATTCACAATAGTCACTCAAATAACTAGAAACTGAAAAAGTAATAAATAAAAAAATTTGCTAAATTATAATTTAGTGAAATAAGACATTGCTTTTGAATTGTGGTTGAAAAGAATAATTGAAAAAAAAAAGAAAAATTGTCCTGGACAAATTAGAGCACTTTGCTGATGAGCAGTGGGTCAAAGTCAAAATAGCTGTCAACAGGTGCAGAAGTCTGATGGAGAGTTACAGAAAACACTTGATTGCAGTGATTGGCTCAAAGGGTTGTTCAACAAAATATTAGTTTATGGATCCCATCATGCTTGTTGGGGATTTTTGTTGTTGCTGTTGTTGTTGTTTTAAAATATATATATATATTTCCATTGAACCACAATGTCATGATTTTCATTATTATTTTTTTCAATTTCAACTTATTTCAGTGACAGCTGTTTTTTTTCCTTCTTTAATGGGAGGGTATGAATACATTTGACGACGATTGTACATCAGCAATTTGCATGGTAGTACTAGCACTAGAAAATAGAATAGAATAGAATAGAACTTTATTGATCCCCTTGGTGGAAACCTCAGGGAAATTGCTGAAGGTTGTAAAAATGTTACTTCTGAAAACTTGAGTCACTGATATGGACTTGAATCTGGTTGGAGGAATTATCTCCCTAATATAGCCTGATTAAAACTCAGTTGAAGGTCAACACATGTAGCAGCAACCCTTTAAAAGAGGATGTGTAAATAGCTGAAGTGAAGACATCATCTGTATGGCTTTAAAAAACACACACACACACACATCAGCAGGTAATTAATGTATATTTGAACGTGTCAGAAATATCATTCCAGAGTTCAGTTTACCATGGAGGTAGATGTTGTCTTCCTGTGTGGTCGACACAGTGAGCACAAAACACATGTTCAGCTGTAAAACTAGTCTGACTTCCTTCTTTATATTATTACGCAGGAAACCAGCTAAGGTGCCTCTGAGTTTCATTGTTTTGCAAACTATATACAGCTCTTAATATTAACGAGAGACGAGATTTGTGGTGTTCTGTTTTCAAACCTCTTTAACCACAGCCTGCTAAAACAAGAAACTGTTCAACCTTTTCACACATGCGCTGTCTTGCGTTAAGTATCTTGAGTAAGTGCTGATGCCAGGATCGGGCTAATGACTGGAGTAGGTCGCCATCTGTTGGGGCTGGAAAATTCATGATGCTTTACTTAGAAATCCTCTGTGCAAAGCAGGATGCGTATTCTCGCTTGTCATTGGTTCAAAATGTTTTTGTTTTTTTTTTCACTACTAAGACTGTCCACTGTTTTTAAGTCAAATTAATTTATAATGCAGGTGTTCAAACCTAATTTCAGCTCTGTGTCACAGTTAAGACAGTATTTTGTGTTGTTTTGGGGGCGGTAATGCTTTCTCTGGAGAATTTGACAAAAAAAAAAGGTTCCACTCTGTCCCTTGTACAAATTAATATATACAGCACCCTCTATAATTATTGGCACCCCTGGTTAAGATGTGTTCTTTAGCTTCTAGTAAATTCAGTTTTTTTTTTAAATAATATAGAACCACAAAGAAAAAAAAACGGAAAATTCAACCTTTAATTCAAGTGCATTTATTCAGTGTGAAAAAATCCCACATTAAAAAATAATTCTTTTACATCAAATCATGTGTGCCACAATTATTAGCACCCTTATTGTTAATACTTTGTACAGCCCCCTTTTGCCAACAATTCATTTGAGTTGAGTTGAAGGTTACATTTTTCTACAATTTTCACTGTGAGAGTATGATTGAATTTATTTTAAGGCTTTTAACACATCTTAACCAGGGGTGCCAATGATTATGGAGGGCGCTGTATGTTTAAATAGATATTGTACATTTTACTCATTTCTGTTTAGTTTTGTATATTTCACTCAACACTCAAAACTCCTTCTGTTTGACAATTAAAAACTCTTTATTTGCATCTACTGGAAGTCTAAGTTTGGAGGTTTCTTGATCATATATTCGTGGCTGCTCAAATTTACACACACACACACATTTCTTTACGACATTCAAAACACGAACAACTCGTGCGTTTGATCTCTCTGCTTTCTCTCTCTGCCAACCTTGAGGAAATGATGCTTTGACTAACGAATCTATAACATCTATGAATGTGGGAATGCAACACATCCATAGATGAAGCACAACGTTTGAAATGCACAACGTCCTCCCTGTATGTTTTTTTACTGCCCTGAAATTATGAAGCTTGTTTTTTGTTTTGTTTTTATTTACTGTAACCTCTTGATATTGTTTATTTTACAGCCTCCACGACCAGTTCAAGTAGTCACTGCATCCTACATGTAATGGGAAGAACAGCTACTGAGGGGAAAAGACCTTCAACTGAGATATTGTGGTTTTATTTCGATGTAGAAACACAGAAGAAGTGACTCAGATTTTTAGTGCTGTGACAGTAGAGTCGTCTGTACAACCTCAGATGTCAATGATTCTCTCTGTAGAGAACCCGGAGAGAAAGCTCTGAAATGATATTTGTTAAATAAAATATGATTATTATGTTATACAGGGGGGCTGCAGGGTGGCGCAGTTGGTAGCACTGTTGCCTCGCAGCAAGAAGGTCGACTGTTCGCATCCCGGTGGGGGCACCGGAATCTTTCTGTGATGTTCTCCCCATGCAGTGTGGGTTCTCTCCGGGTTCTCCAGCTTCCTCCCACAAGGTCCAAAAACATGTTGAGGTTAATTGGTGATTCTAAATTGTCCGTAGGTGTGAATGTTAGTGTGCTTGGTTGTCTGTCTCTAAGTGTGGCCCTGTGATAGACTGGCGACCTGTCCAGGGTGTCTCCTGCCTTCACCCTGAGTCAGCTGGGATAGACTCCAGCCTCTCACGACCCTGGTGAGGAATTTTCAAATTTAATGGTTTAAAAAAAAGGGCGGGGGGAAAGCACATTAACATTTGTTGATTAAGATGTCAAATTATTGTTATTTACTTGCATTCCTGAACAGAAAAATTAGTTTTATTGGTTAAATGTTACACTTGATTCATTTCTGACGTCAGTTGCAGTTGTTTCCGACGTTTGTTGTCATAATTGTGTCCCATTCCTCCTTTTCAGACCTTTTTGAGCCCTTGTGAACTCACTACAGCTGTGACATGTCTGTGAGGATTTCGTGCTCAGGCCTTCAGGTGGAGGTTGGGGTTAGGCCACTGCCTCTTTGTCAGTGTTCTGGTAAACAGCATCTGGAGTTCAGTTTGGATCTGAGTTCATTGTATTTTATTCTGATTAAACATAAATGTGTTGCAGGAAGGTGTCTTATCCACATGACAGTGTCTGGATTCATCTGGGCTGTCGGCTGAACGAAATAAACGGATAAAGCTATAACTCTGCCTCATTGTTAAACATCTGTAAACTTTGTCTGAGGCTTAAAATAAAGATTACACCCTCGCTTCACACACACACACGCACACACACTTCCTCTTTTAGGACAAAAAAAACAAAAAAAAATCAGCAGATTACACAATGGTGAGCAAGTGACTCCTGTTTAAAAGAACATGACCTATATTTAAGGAGCCATTAGACACTGAAATCTGACGGCAGTATGTTTAGTTTTACGTGGATTCAAATTTCCTTATTCCTGATGCTGCTGCTTTATTTGACAGGTAAGATGTTATTTATAACTATAATCCATGTTTATATTCTTATTAAGAAGGTTAATTATTTCATCAAATTTTGCCCCATTACTTTTTTTAGAATAGTCATGTGTCTTTTCCTCCACAGCAGTAACAGGAAAAGAATTCCACATCACTGTCAGAGATGGCGATCAAGCTAGTTTGCCTTGTGAAAACATGATAAATGACCAGGAGAAGTGTGACAGCACTACGTGGATCTATGGTGTTTCACAAAACTCAACAGCGGTAGAGCTGGTTACTCTTGGGCAGATTGGTAAGAATGCAAAACATAAATCAGACAGACTGAGTGTTTCAGCGAACTGTTCTCTGGTTATAAAGAAGGTCACAGCTGAGGATGTTGGACGCTACACCTGCAGACAGTACGAATCAGGACAACAACAAGGTCCAGATGCGCTGGTTTATCTCTCGCTCATTACTGGTGAGTGTTTACATCATAATAGAACTGTCCTGCTTGGACAACATACTGAAATATTACAGTAAAGTAGTCTTACTATGATTGTTTTTCCTCACAATATCTTCACCAGTTAGTGGACATAAGAGCCCTAAAACGGTGATGCTGTCCTGCTTTGTGCTGACATATGGAGACTGTAGACACACGGTGAAATGGCTGCATCAGGGTAGTGACGTGGATAAAGATGGCCAGGACATGAGGACGTCCCAGTCAGGCTGCTCTGCTACCATATCCTTCAAGACCTCCTATTATCAGGAGAAGCCAGGATACTTGGCAACGTTCAGATGTGAAGTGACAAACAAAAACAATCAAGAAGTTCAGCTTTGTAGCTTCACCCCTTTGTCGTCATGCGAGAAAGCAGGTATGTATGAACGAAAAGGCGAAAACTTGTGATTGTGTGAGTGTTGGTGTTTAGCAGGTGAGGGGGTCGCAGGTGCCATGACAGCAGGATGGACTATGTCAAATGAGTTCACACTGGCAGGATGATATTAGCTAATTTCATGGATATACAGCTTTACTGTGACATACTGAAACATTTGAGGTATCTGTTGATTAATTTGTACAGGTGTGGATCCAACAAAAACTTCAGTGGAATTAATAACAACTGCATCACCCACATTAAGCTCCACAACACAAGAAGGTGAGGAAACAGCTCAGTTACTGCAAACCTGACAGAAACACATTCCTCATTATAACCACTGAAAAAATGTTACACAGACTAATAAACAATTTTTTAAAGAAAAGTTCTATTAGCATGATCACTGATTCATTCATTCATTTACATCTATTTACATCAGCAAGCAGTGTTTGCTGATGATTGTGTATTTTATATGCATTCTTCTGTGGGGTTATTAGTGTAGATGATAAGAATTTTCTTCTGCCTTTTTTTTCATCAGCTAAAATCAAATATAAGCCTGCGAGAGAATAATGTTTCTGCTTGTTTATTCTGAGACTGAAACATCCTTCACTGACATGATTTCGTGTTTTCTCTGACAGCTCATACAGATTGTTCTTTGCTGAACTACGTCATGCTGGCGATGCGCGTCGCTGAACTCCTTCTAATTACTGTGATTACTGTTGTTCTCGTCAGAGCTCGAGGTGAGAGAATTCAACCCAGCGTTTGTGAATAAGGATTACAACAAACTAATTTTACTCTGTGAAATGTTTTCCAGGGAACAAGAGGCCACCTGATGCCATCATTGTGAGTTCAGAATCAAAAAAGAGGGTGAAAGCTTTTGTCATTTTAAAATCTGTTCACTTCAGTGAAGTGCAGGACTGAGAATGCGTCACTGTTTTGTCTTTGTGCAGGTTTTAAACTCAGTAGGAAGCCCACCAGTGACCCTTTCTGCTCCAGCAGCCCATCAGGTAAAGATCAGATTTTTAATTTCAAACCATCAGAATCTAGCTGGGAGGAAAATCTGTGAGCTGGAGGCCCTTTTGGGAGCTTTCACAAAATTGAAAGGACCATTTAAATCATGTCTTTGTTATTTTTTAACTCTCAAGTTAAGTCGGGGCTGGTGCATTAAACTACATTTGAATGTACAATGTGTATGTGATAATGAAACTGAACTTGACTCGAGCTTGTGATGTTTTTTTTTTTTTTCTTCTAGCAGGTACAAGATGAAGCTGCAGTGAACTATGAAAACTTGAGAGGCCCTTTTGCTTCTGTTAAGCTCCACTGATCAACAACGTCCACATCAGTTCACAGAAAGAGAAAAGAAAAGAAGACCCTTCTAATAGGAGCTATTTGTTGAAACACTGGTTGTTTTTTAATATGTGACTTTGAATTTTCTTTTTTCTTTGTTCACTCATGAAATTAAATACTTTTCATTCAGCACTATTGTCACCATTACTTAATAATTCTGTGTATCTGAAAAATTTGGTAGTGTGTGTGATTTATTTTTTTATTAGTACTGATGATTAACATCAACAACATAATAAAAATCATTCATTGACAGTGATTTGTTTAACTGTGGCTTTGTGCATATTATTGTCACAGGTTTCATTTTTCTCATAATTTCCTGCATTCTAGTATTTATTTTTTTTGCATCGATTTATGGTAGAAAATGTCTTTATTTATGTAAAGTCAAACACAAAACGAATGCACACGCAGTTTGTTACAGAGGATATTTTTGGTGCAGGGCTAAAAGTCCAGAGATCATGTTCCTGCAATTAATTAATAGGATTAATATTTACAATAATACTCTTCACTATTGACATTAGGAGTTTGCATGTTCTCCCCGTGCAGCGTGGGTTCTCTCCGGGTTCTCCGGCTTCCTCCCACAAGGTCCAAAAACATGTTGAGGTTAATTGGTGATTCTAAATTGTCTGTAGGTGTGAATGAGAGTGCTTGGTGGCCCTGTGATAGACTGGTGACCTGTCCAGGGTGTCTCCTGCCTTCACCCTGAGTCAGCTGGGATAGGCTCCAGCCCCCCATGAACCTAGTGAGGACTGAGCGGTGTATAGATAATGGATGGATGGACTATTTACATTAAGATAAATTTAGGGGGGGATAAACTGTTTTAGACTTTTCTTTGTTTTGTAGGATGATACAGAAAGTCCCATCCTGCGAGTTGAAGCTATTGGTTCTTTAGGTTTGTGACACATGAAACTCTGGATGTCTGAATCAGTGATTTTGAGGTTGTCATGGATACACTGTTGTTAGAAGGTGGAAATGCTCAGCTGTGGTGTTGACTGCTTCTTCTGCTCATGGTGCATCTTCCAGTTTATAGAAACACTGTATGGACATGGTACGACTAAAACAAACAAACAAATAAAAACTTAACTTAAGTAAGTTAAATGACACTGAACACATTGTTTAAACCAACTGATTTCTCATTAGTTCAGAGAGGTGGAGGAAATGAAACTCTACAGAACAACAGTGTTTTAGCAGCATATATGTGCAGTGTGGCTTTACTTTACAATAGCTTTGTTCCCAAATAACAATAATAATGTAATGATGTTTATCGGGTCAAATCTGAGCTCTGTAGCTGCTGACTCTACATTCACGTAACACTTCCTCCACTGGTGTCAGGAAAAATTACTCATCTGCAACAAGGAACCTCCAGAAGCGAAAATGTGATCAGTGAGATGACTCACTTCTGCATTTGTATGTGGTGTAAAACATGATCAAGAACTTTTAATGTGGTTGCATTTTAATCTTTGCCACCTTTTGATGCTGTTGCCACAAATAAAACGTAAAAATCAAATAAGCGAAAACTGTGTAAGTCTCTAACTCTGCTGTCTCCCATCAGCTGTTGTTAGCGTCATAATGATCAGCCTTTATCGTGTTTGTAGTTACAGCAGAGTAAGATGACATGTTGTCTTTCTCTTAGATCAACCAGGTCTCATGAAATTTCATTTGTATTAATAATTAATACTTCTTAAAGGCAAATACTAACCCTGTAAGGGGAAGATGAGAAATCTATGGGGTCCCATTTCAAATGCAATGCATAAGCAGAGTCTGATGACACTGACTCTGAAACACCAAAGACAAAATGAAGTAATTTTTGGCTGGACGTTACCCAAACTAACCACTTGGATTCAGATCTCAGCTCACACTGTGGAGGTTCCTACTGTAACAAGTTCTGTTTTTACATAAAGTTATCAGTTAGAGCTGCAGACTCTGTTACCACTATCTGTAGGACTTCAAGAAAGAAAGAAAGAAAGAAAGAAAGAAAGAAAGAAAGAAAGAAAGAAAGAACGAATTCAAGTCTGTATGAGGAAGTTTCATTTACTAATATCAGGAAGTGGATCTCTTTTGAAAAACGCCAGAGGGTGTGACAGCTCAAACTGAGAGGATCAGGGAAGCACGATGCTTGAATTCAACTGGATTGAGATATTTTCATTTTTATTTCCAATACTGCTGCTTCAGCTTCAAGGTAAGGCATAAAACACACATAAAACATGAATAAATCAAGCATCTTACATTTACAGAAGTCTGTTAAATACTATGCTCTGATGTCAGCTTTGTCTTGTGTTCCTCTATTTCATCTCTTTAACAGAAATATCAGGACAGGATTTCCACCTCATTGTCAAAGATGATGATGAAGTCATGTTGCCTTGTTTAAATGTCATAAAAACGCAGACAGAATGCAGCAGTACCACGTGGCATTACACTAATTCAAGAGAGTCCCCGGTAGCAGAGCTGGTTCAGCATGGGCAGGTTGGGAAAAATAGTAAAGCCGACAGACTGAGTGTTGCAGCTGACTGTTCTCTGACTATAAAGAAGGTCAGATTGGAAGATGTTGGTCAATACAGCTGCAGACAGTACGGTGAATTAAACCAGCATCAAGGTCCAGAGACTGTGGTTTATCTGTCTGTCATCAACAGTGAGTATTTATTTCAGAATGTTTCGGCTCAAACAGCCTCTTTAGAACAAGATACTGAAACATCATATTAGGTGTGGTTGAAAGGATGAAGTGAAATTTGCTGTTTTTGTCTTTATCTCACAATATCTCCATCTTCCCCAGTTCATGAACACCAGGACAACAATATGGTGACGTTAACGTGCTCTGTGTTGACCTATGAAGGCTGCAGATACACAGTGGAGTGGCTGCATGAACGTGATAAAGATAGTTTCACAAGCCCAAAGAGACCACACAGTTCCTGCTCAGCCTCTTTGACATTTAACACGCCTCTTGATAAGAACTTTAAGAAGTCAAAGTGTAAAGTGACAGATAACAACGGTGAAAGCTTTCTGCTGTGCAGCTTTAATCAGCAGTCCTCATGTGAGGAAACAGGTACGTTTATTTATCAGCTGATTTGAACTTCTCTCTTGCATATTTTCTTCTTATTGGAATGTTTCAATAATCTATTTCATGTTAACAATAATAACAAACCGGGAGGAGACAGAACATCAATGCTATGTAGAGAAATAGCATTTTGCACCTGTTTATTTCCAGTGTTTTTATTTTATTCTCCTTGCGAAATGTAAAAAGAATAATTTGAAAATTGGCCTTTTAAAGGATTTCTTAAGAAGCTAGTGGATTTTCTAGTGCACACACAACACAAACAAAACGATGCAATGTGCAAACATTTTGAAAGATTTCACCTTTTCATCTTCCATATTGGGCCACATGCTTTGCTTCGTCCATGCAGGGGTCAGAGTTCAACAGTTAAACTCAGACTGCAACCTGTTGGAATGAATGAGTTTCAGAGCGCAGTGGAGCCATTGTTGTGTTTAGAACCTAATCCTTCCTTTGAACATCAAGAGACTTCTTTTATCTGGCACATCTGAAGCTTCTTAGGTTTATACATCTCATTTCCATCTGCTGGCATGTCCTGCATCTCCATCGTTGTTTCCCTCCTCAGGTCTGCCAAACAAATCGGTGCTGGTCAACACAAAATGTTTAGCTACCAGGAATGTCACCACAGACAATACAGACAAATTTACCTGATGCTCATAAGTTAAATCAGCATTGTGCAACCTTGTTTGATAAATGTAATGGATGTTTTTTCCTTTACAAGGCAAGATGAGTGCAGTACACATTACTAGTGGCAGCTAAGTTTATTGCAGCAGAAATATTTCCTTGAAAATATTAAAGAATGACAAATGTTTTTAATGTTTTCAGATCCTCCTCATTGGTGGGTGTACATCATTGTGGCTACTTCAGCAGTCCTAATAATCGCTGCTGCTGCTGGGGTGATCATCAGACAGAAGAGAACTGAAGGCAACAGTATGTACAGATAAACGTGTTCGTAGTAAGAACTCTTATATATCCATATTTTTGCTGTTGAGGGTAAAATCAACTCTTGTTTGTTTCAGGTAACAAAACACAGAAGGATGACAGCTTTGTGAGTTTTAAAACTAAATTGAATTTGTATTTTACTATGAGCCTGGTAATTGGTAATTACAAAGTGACTGTGATAGCAGTAAGAGCCAGTTTGTTGCTTACCTGGTTGTAGTCATACTATCTGAAATTTTGAATCTCAGTTGTGCCTGATATTTGGGGGAAATGTTCACAGTGTATTTTTTAAGAAGTTGCCATTCATGTGAAGTAAAAAAAACTTTAACTTGACTGTATTTTTTGCAGGGACTGAGCTTTAACCCTGCTGTGATTCAGCCTGGGTCAGACACCAGTCAGGACACGGTGAGATCACACACTACACTCATCCTTATTTATACATATTTTACCTAACTTCCCTCTGCAACTGAGGGAACAAAGGGATCAAATTTTGTAACTAACGTAGCATTACCACATGTCCCTGAGCTGTCATTAGTTGTACTATTTTCATTTTGTAGGCTGATCCTGAAGGTGGTGTTTCTTATGCCTCCATCAGTTACACCAAGAAGCTCAACAGTGAAGCCAAGGTGAGCTGTTTTCAAACGAGAACCAAGAGACATCAGCAAATCACTCCTGTTTCAGCTTCATTACACTGGTCCCCAGTATGTTTCAGGTTAGATTTTACTGATCACTTGGCTTATCTCCTCGTTGTATCTCAATCTTTTAGTGTCGTAAGCACCAGTACGTCTCAGAGATCTTTGGGCAGAGGTCATTTGTCTTTTTATATGTTTCATTAATAAATTTTTTGAAAACCTTTTTACACACCATGTTGTGTTTTAATCTGTTTTTTAAAATCTGATATAAATATATTTTTTAATGACTTGTCTGTTTTATCTTGCTGCCTTGTGAAGCCCTTTTTTCTAAAGTGCTCCTCAAATGAAGATTATTATTAACAACAGGCTATGATGATTTTTACTGGTCATACTGGTGTTACTGGTGAATTTTTAAAAAATGCTTTCACCATTGAAGTGTTACAGTACAGTATCATTCATGTTACTAATTGTTATTTAAAGAACATAAAAAATACCCTTTCTTTAATCCAATCATAAAAAAATAATGAAAATATGAAATAAAACTGCTAGAAGAAGACAGCAATGGCTACTTATAAACTGTTTTCTTCCCCTATTACTTATATTGTTGTGGATACAAATATTATTGGAAAAAAATGTTAACTTCTTTACGCTAACCTCATCTATCATACTTACACGCTCACAATTAAAATGCTAACATGCTGATGCTAAGTTGGTGTAATCTTTTTCCAGCATCTGTTAGCATGTTTGCTAATTAGCACTCATCACAAAGTGGTGGCAAAAGAAAATGTTGAGTTTTATGAGAATTAATGGATAAAGACTGAAACAAAAGTGACCTTTTCAGTTACTTTCAGTTTGTATTTCATTGCATGTACACTGTTTGTGCAGCTGGGTTCATGCTATGTTACGTAGCATTACCATGAGTTCAGAAAGTCATCTCATCATGAGGTCCATTTAATTGTTGTTTTGTTTTTTATTATTATGTAATGGAAGGTGAAGGACTTGTAGCTTGTGTATGATTTTGGTCCAGCGTAGCAGCACTGTGTGACACTGTGTTAAAATGATATGAAGTGAGTTTTAATATGTTTTACTACTTAATGTTGCAGTGCAGTTTTACTGTATTTGTTATTACTCGGTTTTAGGATGTTGCTCTTCACTGTTAAATTTCATCATGTTGCATTGTAGTTTGCTGATTTATGCAATTCCCATGTGCTGTTGTGTAGTTAATATGTTGTGCTGTCTCTGTTTTTTTCCCTCCATGTTCAGGGTAAAGATGATGATAATAGTGAAGAGGATGCAGTGACATACAGTACTGTGAAAACCATGCCAGGAGCTTCCACTGATCCCAGCAACATCTACGCTACTGTGAACAAACCAAACAAAAAAGAGAAAGTCACTGTATAGTTAAATTAATTTTACACAGATTTTTTTTAAAAGCCCCTTTCAGACATTCAATTTGTTCATTTGAAGGCAGCTGAATGTGTCAACTTCTTGTCTGAATGCGCACTTTGGTCACGTTTCCATAAAAGTCCAACCAGCTATCTTATTAGGTTGGACCTAGTAATGTTTCCATATAATTTTCAATATGGCACAAGTGTGAGTGAGCCGTCACATTAACGGAGAGGTATGCACAAGTGGTACTTGTGGTA